CGTCACTATAGTGGCTTCCGCGGATGTCATCTTTCAGAACGACGCGCCACTACAGTGGCTTGCTCTAGTAGCTCACTCGCTCATCGTTTGAATCAAATAATCGTCTTCATATGCATTGTTTCACGCTTCTTTTGTCTCCACATCGATTTATAACAGTCTACAGGGTGTCCCAAAAATGTCTCGCAATCCGGAAATGGCGGGTTCCTCGGATCATTTGGAGCAACTTCTTCCTTTACAAAAATGTTCTCCGAAAAACAGTGACCAATAAGAATCGAGTACGGCTGACGCGAGGCGGTCCAGCCAACCAGCGCACGGAGCCCAGTTCCGCTCATTGGCTCGATCGCCTCGCGCCAGCCGAGCTCGCCTCTCATTGGTCACTGTTTTTCGTTAATAACTCGTTAACGGTGCCTCGGAGAAAATTTTTGTAAAGGAAAAAGTTGCTTCAAATGGCCCGAGGAACCCGCCACTTTCGGATTGCGAGACATTTTTGGGACACCCTGTATATACAGTATCAGACTCTGTACAGTACACATCAGACTCTGCCGTCCAGAGAAATAGCCTCGCGCAGAATTCAGCCGTACCTAAAAGGTTAAGTCCCATCCTACGACAACAAATTGAATCGAATCATTATTATTCCTTTATGTTTTTATTTAATTTGAAACGCAATAAAATCTCCTGTGCAACATGGGTCTATTTCATCTCCTGAAATCCTGCGCCCCAAGGAGTCGATTCGCGATGCAACAATAGACAAGAAGATTTGGTCGTGTACAGTCCCGATCAGCAATGACTAGTTTTCCTTGAAACAGCGTGCCGAGTCCCTGAAACTAAGAGACGCTGCGCGTTCGATCAAGGTTTCGAAACTAGCATCCGCGGGGGAAAAGTACAGGGACCGTTACCAGGACGAACGACGCGCAACGCCAACGGCATTTCGAGAGCTACCGATAAACTGAAATCAAGGTTATGTCGAACGTCGAATGGGTGCTCCGCGAATTCGACGAGCTTAGACGAACGCGGCGGCGTTTCGAGCTCTAGAAAAGGAGTTCGTTCGACCTTTACGCGACAATTATTTAATCTTAACATCGTTTAACGTTCATATTTATAGCAGATAAGCGTATAATGCATGCGGCATACGTTGTTAAATTATTATGCATGCGGTAACACGCGAGCGACGTAACTCGATAACCGGTAATACTCGATGATAAGCGCCGGTACGCTACGATTTCAACGAAAAAAACATTCCTAACAGTTCTATTTTTTTCGCCGGCAAAAGTTCGCGAAAATCGATCGTACAGGGTCGAGAGATCCTAACTGACGCGAACACAGTAACACGAGGCATCGAGCAATCGCTCGACATAACCTTGAACGATCTCTCGCGTTCGATCCCGTAATCCGATTGTGCGATTCTCGATGCCCGTTCCCCCGATGATCTCGCAATTTCTTATCGGGACTGTGTTTTCGAAAAAACGAAGATTACACGTTCGCTCAGTGACTAATGTCGCCCGATTCGGAAGAGATTGCGTAAAGGCGTGTGTAACCGGTGCTGGAAAGTTCGCGGAGTTGTTGTTTAACGCGTCGCGTCGCTACTATTCCAAGGCTGGAAACACAATGTAAACACTTTTCCCAGAGAGCCGCGTGTGGTGCGGAATACCGGGTCCCTCGTAACGTAAATTATTGTTTAACCTATTGAACGGCGAATTCAGTTTTAAAAACCCCTCACAGTGTGCGGAATTAAAATCAAGCGATGACGTGTATACACGACGAACGCAGGGCAAGATGGTCCTATTACAAATTTTATGAAAAACGGAGAAGAACTAAATATTTATTTAAGAAAAACTTAACAATTTATTTCTGAAAAGTTTAAATAAAGTTAATAAAGTTAAAAATTCTCCGTATAAAATACTTAGCAGTTCTATTGGTAATATAAAGGAAACATCCCACCAAATAATATTCTCATTGTATTTTATTAAAATTTCGAGTTTTCACAGTCAATGGTAATTTTATATTTTTAATGACGAGTAAACACGTCGAACGCGCCGTAATAGAGATTTGGTTTGACGTGTATACACGACAAACGCGCTTAACTGGTTAAACTATCGGAAGCTCGTCGTGTTAATTTCTTGACTTTTGTCGCGTCAGAACTGTCGGCGAATGCTGAGTATGACTACACAGGTGTACCATAACCGTACATCGTCGAACGAATCGATTTTCAATTTGACGCGTTTCCCCTTGAAATCCAACGATCCAAGATAGACGATGAGTAATCATTGACTAATGATCTTGCTGGGAACGTGGCGCGGCGAATGTACGCAATACGGCGAGGGTTGTATGTTCTGATGATTCGAAATCGACAGGAAAATGGCTGGAATTTTTTCGTTTCGTTTCGTTTCGTTTCTTTCTCGGTGATATTATTTTTGGACGGTGGAACACGTCTCGGTGGTGAGCTGACCACTTCTCGCGACAAATGTGTTGTTCGCGTGGCCCTAATCGCGTGCATTATTAGTAGGTACACACCGGCGGAGGTGTATCGTGGCCATTCGAAGCGGTCAGTTTTATCGATTAATCGATAAGACATCTTGTTTCTATTCTTGGTGTTCCGCGAACGTTCGCGGAGTCACGAATTTTCAAGAGACTTCTTTCCCAACGGCGTACAGAGGCCCACGAAATTCTTCGTACACCTTATAAAACGTAATAACTTTTTTCTAATTCAACCAAACGATCTGAATGTTTTTTCTTTTTATGATAGAGGCACTGGTCTACTAGACGACGACTAAAATGCCTCTTTTTGAAATTTTGCTATTATTTGGGATGGCAAAAAAAAGAAAAAAATAAGAAACTCAGTTTCAAAAAAGTTTTTGCATTTTAAAAGGTGTACGAACGCTTTTCTGTAGGCCACAAGTCGCTTGTTCGATTTCCGTCTTTCATTCCGCGAACGACGATCCTCGAAAACAATTTCGTGTCCAGTTCCATCGAAGATTGATCAATACCGGAGACGATGGATCGAGTAATATCGCTTGTCTGATCCCGCGATTTAAATCTTTAATTGAATACTTCGGAAAGGATCGTTCGAAGTGAGTAGTACAGTAATGTCTCCCTTACTGACGCTCAGGTTGTGTACAGAAATGGACAATTTGGGAAGAGGAGATACGATTATTCGAACCTTGCGACTCGTTTTTATAGTTGTTGACAATCGATAACCAGAAAAAACGAGCAACAAGGCTCGAACAATCGTATCTCCTCTTCCAAAATTGTCCATTTTTGTGGACAATCTGAGCGTCAATTAGAGAGACATTACTGTAATCGGAACTATGAATAGTTTGGAACAGCGATCTCGACGGATGCGTACCATGATTCCGGATGTATTCCTTTTTCCTTGTAATCCTGGACAAGGCGCAAGGTCCAGTTCCGTCTTTAAGTTGAATCCACGCAGGAGCGGTCGTTTTCTCTTATAAGCGTTCGCCTCTACATACATATTTCGCGATAACGGAACAGCCGCGGAGTTTCCTCTGTCTAACTATCGACGCAGTACACAACTTGTACACGCTTGACGTTGGCTCCGGTTTATTTGATTTGCCCGGCGTTGGATAGTTTGCTGTTAATTTCCTTCGAAACTGCATTTCAGTTTGGCGTGTCGCCCTTCATGTTGACGATACTATATATTATATATATAATATAATATAGTATAATATAATATAATGTAATATATATATATTTAATATAATAATATAATATAATAATTTAATAATTTAGTGTCATTTTTCAATATCTTTTTAGTATAATTCTTTTTGTTATCTATTTAATATAATTCCAATTTTATACATACAGGATGTCCCAAAAATGTCTCGCAATCCGAAAGTGGCGGGTTCCTCGGGTCGTTTGAAGCAACTTTTTCCTTTACAAAAATTTTCTCCAAGGCACCATTAACGAGTTATTAACGAAGAAACAGTGACCAATGAGAGGCGAGCTCGGCTGGCGCGAGGCGACCGAGCCAATGAGCGGAACTGGGCTTCGTGCGCTGGTTGGCTGGGCCGCCTCGCGTCAGCCGTACTCGATTCTTATTGGTCACCGTTTTTCGTTAATAACTCGTTAACGGTGCCTCGGAGAACATTTTTGTAAAGGAAGAAGCTGCTTCAAATGATCCGAGGAACCCGTCGTTTCCGGACTGCGAGACATTTTTGGGACACCCTGTATAGATGACGGGCTACAATATAACAAATATACTGTCTACTCCTGATTATGGTTATTGTTATGGTTCGTTAACGCGGTCTCTCTCGTTGTTTCGTTTAGGATATGCGAAAGGCAAAGAGACGTCGACAGGGATGGAGATAGAAGGGAAGACGAGGACGAGGACGCAAATCCATTGGGAAAGTGGCCGCATTCTCTCAGCCCTGCATTGGCTTGCCTCAGTTGTACCCTTGGCCTATTCAACATTAGTAGATTCTCCATTCTTAGCATACAATTCGGAGGTGAGTAAGCAAACCGCAAGCTTTGGAAAACTTTGAGATATTGATATAATATTATATTATTATTACATTATTATTAAATTGTTATTGTATTATTTTTATATTATTATTACATTATTACTATATTATTATTATATTATTATTATATTATTATTATATTATCATTACATTATTATTACATTATTATTATATTATATTATTATTATATTGAGATATTTGAGAACGTTGAACAACGAATAGACGGTGAATGATCCATTCGTGTTTCCGTTATCTGTTTATAGCGAATTTCATTGTACAGTTCCTGATATTGTCTTTTGTATTGGGCATTCCTCTGTTGACGTTACACGTCTGCCTTGGGCAAAGATTAGCGGCTGGTTCCGTGGACATGTGGAAGATCTCTCCCCTTTTTCAGGGCGTCGGCATAGCTCTCCTAACTGCACAAGCGTTCATCGGCATCTATAGCATTGTCGGCGTGTCCTGGATGTTCGTTTACTTCAGGTACGGCTAAGTTTCGCGACAGCGATCGTCGGAATCGAAACGAAGCAACGTCCGAATGAAACGAATGAAATAAAGGTGTTTCGTTTGTCGGCATTTCAGGGATTCGTTCATCACGAAGCAGGACAAGTATCGATGGGCGGAACCGTTCTCCCTGTACAGAATAGACAAGCCTGTGCAAAACGCTAGCACATTGTACAAACTGTACGAAACGGTGCCGGATTATTTCAGCGGCGTCGTCCTGCAGAGACACCATTTGAACGAGTCGAACCCCGGCGTGGTCACCTTAAAGTTCCAGGTCGCCTTCAATTTGGCCGTCGTCTGGATGATCGTGTTCGTCTCTTTGAGCAAAGGTATTGCCCAGTTCCGTCTACGTACTCCGGAATTGCTCCGAATCTGTTCTCAATGGAAGGTTTCGCAGAGCATATTCTTCGGAGCAGTTATTACTAGACTGCGGATTTTATGCATTTATGAAATGGAACGAATAGGTCGAATATCAAATTGTAAGGCTATTAACCCTTTTAGTGCCATGCGAAAAAGAGGTGCCTATGCGAGAATAACCGGCCGAATTTCACGGTTTCACTAGGGTTTGAGAAAATGCTCATAAAAACCAAACAAGAAACGATATTTACATGATTCGAAAAGCAGTAAACTAAGGACGAAATAGAGAACAAAACAATGACACTAGATTTTCTAGATTCATTGAAAATTATATAAATAACAAAGGTATAAAAGATCATAAAGAAAGTAAAAGTCCAGTTCTCTCTTACACAAAACGTATTTGTACATACAAAAAGTCATCTTTTCGTCATAATTTTATATAGATCATTTATTACGAAGTATATACTTTGCATTTCTGATATATCTTGTAATAAGACGGATTATTATTCTTCCGAAATATGTAATTGTTATAGGTAATATAACATTGCCGAAACAAAATTATGTTGTCATAAATATATTTGTGATATAATTTTGCATAATACTTCATTATAATAACATAAATATTTATATTTATATATTGTAAATGTGTAAAATTTTGTTATTATAAAGCGCTATAAAGCGCGGGCCGATATATCGGCTCTNTAATAACATAAATATTTATATTTATATATTGTAAATGTGTAAAATTTTGTTATTATAAAGCGCTATAAAGCGCGGGCCGATATATCGGCTCTTGCTGCGCTGGCAAGAAGTGCCAGAGCACTAAAAGGGTTAAAAGAATTTGAGGATATTGTTAACATTACTCTCAACTTGTTACAATTATTAAAGGAAGAAAGACATTTTCAACCAATTTATGTTTCTTAGAATTAACTAAAACAATTTTTATTTTGCATATAGATCCGCAATCTACGTATTACTTATTATACTAGAAGTATTGAAACAATCATAGTTTCGTTTCTTTCAGGTTTAAGATCCTACGGGAAAGTGGTCTACGTGTTTACACTAATACCCGTGTTCGGTATTCTGGTATTGGGCATGAAATTGCTCCGTTTAACGCCACCGGGTTCGATATACGAGATGTTCCCTACCACTGTCGGGGCCGAGTTCTTCATCAATGGGAAATCGTGGGTGGCAGCGTCCGTCGAGGTGTTCCTCACCTGGGGACTGCTCGGCGCGGCCGCTATGCAGGTAAGTTTCAGCTAATCAAAATCGCTCGAGCACAGACCTCAAAGTCTCCCTTATCCTCTCTGTCTTCTAGATAGCAGCTCACAATAAGCACAAACATCTTCTGCAACGGGACACGAACCTCGTTATAATGTTGACGATAATGGTCCTTCTTCTCGCGGCTTTGGTGGCGAACACTTGCGTACAGCTTCTCAAAGATCATGGTTACGTCTATATTCCGAGCTCGTTCGGTTAGTAGTAGCTGGAGTTTATGTGTGTGTGTGTTTTGTTCACAGTACCCTTGGTCGGTGCTAATCCGACCTAGTATTCGTGATACCCGCATACCAACGCTGTTGGATCTATTTCAGAGAGAATATCGTCGTACGTGTTCTTGAGGCCAGCGAATCAGCCAGCTCCGCCGGGATATAGCAGCACGCCGGAGAGATTCATGGCACATGCGTCATTTATCGTCGGCGAACGCGTCACCCGTCCCGGAGCGGATTTCAGCGAATCTGGTTATCAGGCTCTCAGACTCTCCACCGAGCTAGTCCCCGCGATGTTGGCATTGCTGGGAACCGAACAAGTTTCTCCGTTCTGGGCAGTCCTTTTTTACTTTGTGCTGATCCTCTTCGGGATAGCGCAACAGGTACAATTAGTAATCTTAACTAATCGCAAACGAACGTTCACCGCGATACTCTGAGAAGAGTAAAGAACATTGGATTTCTGATGTATTGCAGCTGGCGATATGGCACTGCGTGATAACCGGTATCATGGCTATCAACACGAAAATGATGAAACTTTGGGAAACCACTATCACCTTCTTCAGCTGCGCCTGCGGTTATATACTAGGCTTGCCGATGGCCACTGAGGTAAATACACAGGAAACTTTTACAGAAACTCGTGCTTTTCGAAGGTTGAGAACGACAGAGTAATTCCGCTTCCGGATCTGCGATCAGACAGTCGACAAGAATCAAGAACTTCGCCTGATAAACCAGCACGATTTCAAAGGAACTGTCGTCGCCGCTCGTTTATCGATGCAGCGTCGCCTCGGTTTCGTCGAAGATAACCGCGCGATAACCGCGATAACTACGATAACCGGTATCTGTAGCCACCGAGACTATTTGGTTCATCGGTAGAGAGGTATCAGTGTCGAGAAAGCGATCGCGTCCGTTCGGAGGATGAGTAATGAAATCGATTCCTTGGTACGTCGGAGCATACCATGTTACTTTTGCAACGAGTTCCTGGACCAGAGACATTTATTCGATCACGTGAAACATTGCGGATCGGTGCTGGAAGAATGTCCTTATCGGTGCGGCGTCTACGTGCCGAGAAAAGCCATGGAGGACCATCGAAGATCGTGCAACAAGAATGCTTCGAAGCGGCTCAGCCAGATCAAGGATGTCCAGGACACTTTGTGGAGGAACAAGGTGTTCTCTGCGTTAACGTTGCTTCGAGCCGCGATCCACAACGAGGAGAAGGAGCGCGACCATCTTCAGGAGAAATTGAATCAATGCGTGCATCTGTTGCACTCTCAGCAGGGCTCCCTCGACGCGATACGATTGGAGATCCACGAAACGCGACACGACGCGTCGTTGGAGGAACGCTTGAATCAGTTGGAGATTTGCTGCGACAACATGGAACAGCGCAACAACCACAGCTTCCAGCAGATCTCTCATCAGCTGAGATTGCTGCACGACGATCTGGCGCGCGAGCGTGGCGAGCAAGGCGAACGCGATCGTGTGCAGAACAACTGGAGCACAGAGTTGAACGATTTCAAAAGGTTTCTAACCCAAGAGAAGCTGGAGGTCAGCGAAGCCTGGCAGGGACAGCGTCAGTTGATCCACGACCTCAAGCTGGAACTGGAAATGCGATGTAAAAATTCAAACGATTTGACGGAACGACAGAAAGTCCTGACGGAGAAAATAAACGCGCTGGAGGAAGAATCGCGTGCGCAGAAGGCGACAACGGCGGAACATCAATGCGGCATCAAAGGGCTGAAGTTTCAGGCGAAGGAGAATCTCAAGTATCTCGAGGAACTGATCAAAGAGTATCAGAGCTCCAAGAAGTCCGAGCTGACCGATTGTCTGTGCTATCACGAGTCTTCCAAGCGATTTCCAACGAACGGTCGGCTATTGTGGAGGATCGACCGCTACAAAGAGAAGATGTCCGAGGCGAAAGAAAGCGGGAGCATTCTGTATAGTCCAAGATTTTCGAACAAAGAATACGGCTACAATCTGAGAATCGAGTTATATTTGAACGGTCTAGGCCAATGGAAGGACCGACACGTGATCGGTTGCCTTCGCGTGGAAGACGGTGAGTGGGATCCGCTCTTGGATTGGCCCTGCATTCTCCGAGCCGCTGTCACTTTGAGGAACCAAGAGAATCCGGCCAATGACGTTAAGAAGCTTGTAAAGGCCGTAGGTCGGGGTAAAACCGACCCGGAAACTGTCAATAGAGAATCCGGCATTTATATGTTCATTCCGCATACCACGCTGACTCGATACTCCGGATACGTCAAGGATAACGTGATGTTTCTCGATATCCAAGTGACCGATATAAGGACCAGCATATCTACACAGTCACTGATAGCATAAGTAGTCGGAAAATGATCGAATTGAATCATTGATCCGATCGTAGATGTAAATATTGTAAATTGTAAATACATTCTAAATATGTACTTCTAAATTTTGCAGATCTTTTTGCTGTTCTTTTTTTCTTTCATTCTGTTCCGTTCTGTTTATAGCTGGGCATCCACGTAGTATATTATTTGGATTACACGATCGGCGGTTCATGGTGGATAATGATCTTGTATCTGGTGCAAGTTGGCGCGGTGTTTGCAGTACGAGGTCGACCACATAGCGGTGAGGCGGTCGTTGCTGAATTGTTTCCACCGACCAGTCGGTGTCTCAAGCACTGGGCCGGGCCCCTCTTGTCTTTTACTTGGAACGTTGTGCTGCCTGTTATCTTTATGGTTTGTAAAAATTTCTATCAATGAACTCTATCGTGTCTATGCCAGGCATGAGCAATAGGCGCTCTCTGCTACGTATAGCGTTTAGCACAAGCGAAAGATCTTGTTATCTTTTTATAATAGAATATTGTAAATATTGTGAATATTGTGAATATACAGGGTGTTCCACAATTATTTTAACAGCCGAAAATGAGGGGTGGCTGAGGTCATTTGAAGTAACTTTTTCCTTTGCGAAAATGCAATCTGCAGCTTTGTTTACGAGTTATTAACGAAAAACACTGGCCAATGAGAGGTGACAGTGCGAGAGAGTCCGCAGCACGAGGCTTTGACAGATGGTCGGGACAGACTCGAGCCGCGTTCGAAGTATTGAACAAATCACGAAGCGAGAACTTTCCGGATTTTGTTTACTACGTAACAGTGATATTTTTAAGAGAAACGCTGTTCACCTTTACTTTAGAACGTCTGAAGAATATTTACTAATTTTTCGGACCCGATATAATGAGTAATTTAACCGTGACGGCCGTTTTAATTTTCTAGTGTGCATGACACCTCGTGTGTAACATATGAAATTTTTAAGCAAGGCGTACAGTGAAGATTAACAAAGTACGTAAATGATATTTTAATTTAAATAATTCCGTGTCCGAACACAGTTCAACGAATGATTCGCAAAGCTAATTTAATAAATAATAATCGTGTTAAAGAACGTGAGGGATATGTTTGTTAGAGAGAAATATGAAGAATATTATCAATAAGAAACTCACCCATTTAGTTGTAAATCCACTTCATGCACGGAAATGTGTGCAGGAGGATAGTGCATTGACCTCGTACAATGTATGATGAACTGCACAGCTGCACCGTCACCTCTCATTGACTAGTGTTTTTCGTTAATAACTTGTAAACAAAGCCGCAGATTGTATTTTCGCAAAGGAAAGAGTTACTTCAAATGACCTCAGCTACCCCTCATTTTCGGCTGTTAAAATAATTGTGGAACACCCTGTATATAGAATAGAATATGAATAGGATTGCTTATCCTTGACCATTTCCATGGACACTATAGAAAACTCTATAGAAATTAGGACTGCATAATACAAGTAATACTGTAATACTGTGTAATACGATAATTCTTTTGATGAAATGAAATAAACAGGTACTTGGTATCACGGTGTTCAAGAACGCTGGGTTTCGTGAACTGTACTCTTATCGACGCACCACCAAAGACTATTGGTCGGTGTGGTCGAGGCAGCTGGGAGCTGCTATACAGCTGATACCGATACTAACAATACCAGCCGTAGCTATTATACAGACCTGTCGGTATTTGAACAGTGGTCCACCGGATATATTTGACGTAAGTATGATCATCCGATACGAATATATCGACCATGTGTATACTATTTTTGCGCATCGACTGTGAATAACGACATCCCGATGTACATAACTTTATGCATGAAAATTCAAGCGATAAGCTTTATTAACTAAATCCATGGCTAAAATAAGAGTGATATTATAGTTTGTTCTAACCATAGACCAGCCAGGGGGAAGCGAACATAAATCACTGCGACCAGTGTAATGGAGTAAGTTGGGTCGCTCCTCTAACAAAACGTCAAAACACCTTTTTAACTATTGCACGTTTTTTTTATCATTGTTGCTACGGTCTCGCGAAGAGTAAACTAACAAGATGCCGTATTGCAGAGAATTCAGCTGCTGTATCGGCCTTCGTTGGAAACGGACGACCCTCGGGATAGTCAAACGCACATTGGAACGGAAACCAGTACCAGTATCCACGGTAATGGCATCGTGTCCGCGACTACGGAAGTACCGTTCGAGGATCCGCCACCAAAATACACACCACCGCCCAGCTATACCACCGCGACCGGGGCGAGCATCGCGAAGATGTTGCGGCAGAGTTTTCGAAGAAGCGTGAGACGGATAGTGAACGTGTTAGGGGAGAGCAGTGCGCCGAGGCAGAGGCCCGCGTTGCAGCCGCCGCCCCCCGATTATGCAACGGTCCTCGTCGAGATGAATCAGGGAAGACAACGCCAGGACGTTACGATTCACGTGACCGATGGAAGAATTGAGAACGGCGACGGTGATGTAGACGGTGACGGTGAAGGTGACTGTGACGGCGACGGCGACGGCGACGGCGACGAAGGCAGTGGCGGCGGCGACGACGGTGGTTGCAACGGCAGGACTGCTTCTGTCAGAAGCAACGTCCTCGACAGAAACACCAACAGGCCCAATACCATAGACAGGGCGATGAGGATCGGCAGCCGTACCGCGTCGGCAGTCGGGTATTCGGTCGAGCGTATGCATTCGACCCTCGAAAGGAATCGAACCAGACCGTCCACCATCGGTTCATCGAGCAGTTCGAACTTAACCGCCGTCGACGTTGCGAACTTACTTCGAAGTAGTATCAGGAGAGGGACTGCGCGAACACAACAATCCCTCCGCAGAAGCTTTTGCCACGACGATCCAACGGCGGCGGCCTCCGTCGAGAATCTCGTCGAGGCCGCCGCGCCTATCGGCGAAGAATCCTTGGTTATCCCGAAGGACATGTCTCTAGTCTCCTCCGATCAACAGGCTGACGTTGATAACAACGACAAAAAGACTGCCGTGGAAACGGACAACTCCGTTTCTGTGATATAGGACTGTCTGTGTAGTTCAATAAGACTATCTAGGGCAGATTTTTAGCTAAGAAAAGACTCCGAGGACAGCTCGCGTTGCTGCTATCTATCCTTGATTTTATCCGGTCCGTATCTTATCGTTTGTTCTTCTCGTTTCAAGGACGTCGTTTGTGTTCCGTTTTGGTCTGTTAATCCGCTAATCTACCGATCCGAGCAGACAATTCAGGCTGTGCTGCGAGTCGAGCCGACGGATTGTCGTTATGGTTTGAACGGTCGATTCACATTTTATCTCGTAGACTGAATGCAGTATTTCTTTTTTCCTGTAAATCTTATCGCGCCACGTAATCCCGTGGCTCTGTTCATACCCTCGTATCACACGATGATTTCGCTGTGCGTCAACGGGAAATCTGATAGCGATAAGCGAGCTCGTGCTTAGACGTTATAGATTCGTGGAATGCAAGTTCATGGCTGTCAGTTTTAATGTTTGCGCGTGTTCGGGGAACTTGTTAATGTTTCAACTCGCTTCGAACCAATGTATTTTACAATTATTTTCGGCATTTACTGCTACTGTCTTCTGCATAATTTTATCGTGGCTAAGTATATGTATAAATAACATATCAGCGAAGTGTTAAAAAAAAAGAAAAAAAATATTGCACGTTCGGCGTTAATGCTGTTCGTTAGCGGCAGTAACGGTTGATACGTGCTTGTGACTGCATAGTCCGTCCAGCGTTTGTCGAGTACCATCATATTTTCAGTCGACATGCGTGCAAATATTGCGACGCCCATTTGCCCGGGTACCAACGAATCAAATATACAAGGTTATGTCAAGGTCGGCTTGTTAAATATTTTAAGGGATCATTCTACAAACCAATCGAAAACTAGAATGAAGAATAACAATTTTATTGTAACGGCTTTGTTTTTCAGTTATTAACGATTAAACATGACCGTTTATTAGTCGCGCACAATTCAGCTCTCTGCCTCCATTGTAGAATCACCTCTTACAATATTTGACACACGTAATCGAATATCCTGTATATACATATACATATGTATTTTACAACAGAATTCGGATTATCCCAGCATCCTCGGAATTGAGATAGTGTCTGATAATTAATTGCCAGATAATTAGTCTACACCTATATTTTCTCCTTTATTATCACTTCAACTAAAATATGGTAATCGTAGGGTTGTTAAGTCTCAAACTGTTCGTGATAATGTTGCGCATCGATCTTATACCATAGATTACCATAATTATGTTTATTTATGGATTTTTCAAAAATAGCCTATTTGTGGATCAGGAAACAGTATCTCACCACATAGCAGGGAAACGTTAAATTAATTCTCTCCTGTATGCACGATGCAACGTTTCCGAGAAACGTTAATTACAGTAAAATTAGAACATTGAAAGATAAATCAAGGAAACTGGACAGTTCAGGAGAATCTATTGCATCCATATTATACGAATATTGCATCCATATATAAACGAAAAGGAAGATGATAACACCGCAAAACATAATTAATTGCTATCTGAAGTTTGATTAATTATTGTGTTAATTAATTCTATTTCTGCCACTTTATACATATAATATGAATCCAGTAGATTCTTCAGAACTCTCCACTAGCCCTTGGTTTAGCTTTTAATACCTTAATCTTGCTATATAATTAATGTTTTCCGGCTATGCGTTTTAGCACTATTTGGTAATAGTGTTTCTGGACTACAAACGGGCTATTCTTTTAAATAATCGGAGCTTCCCTTGATTATGGCAATTTGTTTGGTTCGTATATAAATGTTGGAAAGTGTCCCAGAACATTTCTGTACCCTCAAAAGGAATTCCTTCCCCGTTAGATTTCTCTTGTACAAGAGATTCAAATATACATTGCAGCAGTACACAGTAATACCATTAGAATAACTAGAAGCAAAGCCCGGTCAGAAAAAGAACAATGTAAAAAATGTATTATTACTATTATTATTACATAGATAGATCAAGAATGGAAGAGGAACGAATGAGAGAGAGAGAGAGAGAGAGAGAGAATTTAGTAGTTGTACAGAGCGCCGCAAATATTTTAACTAAATCTCATACGTGTAACTGCTATACCTGATATTATGGACCATAATAAAGTTTTTATGTTCTTTTATAATTCTCGACTATTTCCGTAATATCCAATATGAAACAGAACTACAAATGTCATTGTTTTCTGTTTTAGTATTTAGTATCTTGTGTGTAATTATAAAATAAACAATAAGAAAAGACAGCTCTAAGATTTCTCTAGAATAACGCTCATATAGCACAGCTAATACTTTATTAGATGCCATTGAAATGATATAAGTTCTATAGTATTTTAATAGTTAAGCTGAAGCAAACATAATATGTATAACTTAGTTACAAAAAGCCTTAAACTTTCGAACGTATATATGAAACTGAATAAAAACTATGTATATTACAACCTCGTTATCGAAACGACGATCGTCATGTAGACGTTCTACATGTGTTTCAGGTTTCACTTTATTATGCTAATCGCGCTTTGTCTGCGTACCGTGCAGAGAACAATCTCGCGAAGTTGTTAAATAAATCTCTTCACCATATATTCCTATATATTTATTTGTTACATCGGGTGAAATGGGCAAACGTTTGTCCACCAGCAATCGAATGCCAAGTTACATGAAACATCTAGCATACTATAATTATAATAAAATGAAATAATTAGTGGCGTAGTTAAATCTTTTTAGCTCATAAATAATGACAACCAGACAGAGATATAAATAAATATCTTCGTGAAATCTTACGCTATGTATTTGACAGCAATTAGCATCGGTAAGGGAACCACGGTCTGCCCATCCCAAAACTCTACTTGACAAATACGAGGTTGTTTGAAATTAAGATTTAAAGGTACTGTTTGGTTAATCGTTAAATATCTGGTTCCCGTTTCACGATCATTTTAAATCGCTCGAAAGGCTCGCTTTCGAGATAATGAACTATAATAGTTAAAGAGTAATTTTTAATTCAAAGCAGTGGATGTGAGAACGGCGACTCCTCTTTCGTAAAAACTGTGAGGATCTTGACTAGGAGCGATATTCAAGTCGACGGTAAAGAGCAACTCGGTGCGCGTGCTGTTCAGATAGACCGGCAAGGACAACTTCCCCATGCGAACCTCGTCGGTGGAGGATCGTATCCACCTCAACATGGTGACTGGTAAATCGGTCATGATCGTCGAAGTCAAGTACAGTTGGTTATCCTTGCAGTGTGCTCCTTGCAGCTTCAAGCCGGTCACCGCGAATGAACAATCGTCGGTTGCGATGTTGTCACCATCCCCTATAGTTACGTCCAATTGAAGTTCCTCCAGGGACCAACTGTTTGCTTGCGCTATGCATTGCCTCGTCGCCGTTATGTAGGCCTCCGGATTCAATAAACCTCCGAGCCAAACGGGGAAACTCTGAAAATTGCAGGTTCGAATCGGTAATAGGTAATCGACTGACACAAACAAAACATCTCGTCCGGACAAACCTTGATCTCCTTAGCTCCGCCTTGAGACACCAGCCGTGAAACTTCTTGCAGTTGCGACACTCTGTGACTAAAGTCCGTTATCCACTGTATGACGGTGCATCCTCGCGGGACAGTGTATCGCCTCCAACCGCCCGGTAAAATTCCTTTTACTAATTCCGACAACATGGTTCTATGATAATTGGTCTGTTTCTTCTTACCCTATGTGCACAGATTACAGAATGTACAGAACATAATATAAGAATATAATAATATATAATAAGAACATAATATAAGAATAATAATAAGAATAATATAAGAATGTACAGAACACAATAGTCACGAGCTCCATCGATAAGTAGACAAAAGTGAGGAGACAAGAAAAAGAAAGAGAGTCTCAACGACGACATACCTGACAAATCAAAACAACGTCTTCCAAATCGTGTATCACGTCTTGCAGCAACTTGGCGCCGCTGTTCACTTCCCGCTCGAAGTACCTGTAGAGCGGGTCCTTGATGTTCTCCACGGTTCTCCTCAAGGTCGGCAAATTCTTTGGAAGCAGTTGCAACCACGTCGACGCCGAATTGTGCAACGTCCTCATCCAGGACGGTCGCCCATCCGCCTCTGCCTCCCTAGGCGTATCCAAAGACTCCTCGTTCGAGTAAGCCAATTCGTCTTCGTCCTCTAGCTGCTGCATCTTCAACAACTTGGACACCAGATCAGTGCCCCTTGTCGTGAGAAGAACCTTCTCCGCGTTGTTCGGTAACCCAAGCCAAGAAGGAGTCTGCCTGTCGGATAGCGACTCGATCCACTTGAGGAAATGGTCCCTTCTCGTGCCGTCTGGCATGGTAATGTGTCTCTGGCTGCTCTGTAAACCGTCGATGTTGGCGACCAGCGCGAAGTCGGTCTCGAAGGATCTTGGAGTGAACAGTTTCCGAAGGAACGACGCCAGCAAACGTTGGTCAAAATCGTTGTCGATCTTGCCGCCGTAGATGCATTGAGACAGCAGCGTGACCAGGGCGTCCCAGGGCACCTTCTCTGGGGGCAAGTTGGTCCTTCCCATCGCGGTGGTCTCGATCCAAGTGTCGAGAGTGTCGCAAGCCACTCGCAGATCGCTCTCGTTGAACTCGTAGTGTTTGGCCCAGCCCAGGGGCGCGTAACGAAGCCGTTCCTGAACGATAGCGTGGAACCACGCGAGCAAGAAGTAAAGCCGAGCTCTCTCATTCGGTGCCCTCATCATCCTCGAGGCGGGCACAGTGCTGAAGGTTCGCAGAAGATTCGCCCTGATGCCTGGCGGTGGTTCGAACACGAATATTCGGCCGGCTCGTAGGAGGTTCACAGGTACTTTCGGGCTGATCTCCATGGTCAGGAATAGTCGGAAGCTGGCATGCGGCTGCAGGCTGTGCAGCTTCTTCTCGAGCTGCACCAGCCACTGCGGCGCCAGGTGAACGTTCTTCAGCAATACCCATCTGCCAGCTTTCACGGCCATGTTTATCGCTCGATCGGCCTGATTGAACCCTTCCGAAGAGCCGATCGCGATACTGGCTATCTGTTTACCGGATTCGGCGGCTAGATCGTCCACCCTGCCGGAGGCGTCGAATCCAGGCACCGAGCACAGCAACGCTGGCACCGTGGCTTTCAGCTCGTTCTCGACGACGGACGCGAAGTCGAGTTCCGCTTCCGCGGCGGCCATAAACGATTCGCCCAGCGCGCAGGTGATAACCAAGAACGCCGCGGCGATTACTCGGTCCGGTCGGAATGCTTGTATCACCAGCAACTGGTGCATAGCGGTCCCGGTCGGCGTGAGCGCCTTCTCTTCGTCCCAAAGCTTCGGCACGCAGGTCTCCGGTGTCGGCGATTGCAGCCACGAGTTGAACTCCTCGTTCTCCTGGATCTTCTCCGCGAGCTTCTTGAAAGCTGGCAGCCTGAGGCTCAACCTCATCATGGCCTCCAGCTGCTCGGAGCTCAGGTTGGGAAGATGCGGTCCACGGACGTTCAGCACGCCTTCCTTGCCGCGCAAGAAGAACGTGAACTCGCTGTCGTACGTCGACTCGGCGGCGATCCCCTTCAAGTGTATTCTACAGAGCAACAATGCGAACGTCAGTCTGTCGATGTGCAGCATTCCGCGCGCGATCCGCTCATAACACGCGGAGAACAGATTGCTCGTGATGATCGACAGTCTCTGCGTGTAGTCCGATAGATTGGACAGTCTTGGGTTTTGCGTCAGCACAGACGTGAAAACGTCCAAGAACATTTTCAGGGAGTACTGATACAGGAAGTGCACTTGGTTCAAACTGTCCATGGTGAAGTACATGTTCGAGCAGGCCTGCGACAGCGGCATGTACTGTTGAGAGACCGTTTCTATCTCGGCTATCACTTTGTCCGTTTCCTCGACCTTCTTGCTGATGTCGGCTGCCTCCTGTTTCAAGGTCTCCAGGGTCGTTATCACCGAGTCGTCGTCGAGGATCTTGCCCTTGGCGTCGTTCAGCGCCTGAAGCAACGATTTCTCGAGTTGCCTGAGTCGCAGATGAAACTCGCCCTGCAGCTTCAGCAGATCCGACCTCTTCTCGTCGATGTCCGGACGCTCGGCCTTGAGCACCTGGTTCAGACACTGGCTCTGCAGAGAGCTCCTGGTCACGGTGAAGTTGACGAAGGTGACGCGCGAGCAGATGTCCGGTGGGAATTCGACGGTCGGATCTCTCGTCGATAAGAAGATGACGAACGAGGGCGACAGATCGATGTCCTGATCGCCGAGGGTGATCAACACGCGGCCTCCTGTCCGCCTCAGTTCTCGGTTTAGAACGGGATTCAATATGGGATCGTAGTTTTCGACATCCTGCACCAGCAGAGGATTACCGAAACGCAGTGCGCTCTCAAGATTCTTTCTGAACGAGTCGTCCAAGAAGCTCGTTTTCGTGATCTTTCGATCCTTGAACTCGTTCATGATAAACTCGGTCGCCTGTCCGGATGGATCTATGATCAACGGGTATCTGTTAAATCGTTTCAGCATGATGGCATTCTCCGTACAAAGATCGTCCGTCGGCAGAGCGTTCGCTTGCCATCTGAGCCGCTCGTCGGGGTTCGATAGATATTCGGTTCTCGCGATGTCCGGCCGGAATTGCAAATTAGCCAGCTGCAAATGCTGGCACCAGGTGCTGAATAGATTTTGTCGATACTAAAATGTCAAAAGATAACGGAATAATAATAATAATAACAATAATAATAATAATCATGAGTAATCTTGTGTTCATCGTTGAGCGAGTAGTACTATATATATATATATATATATATATATATATATATATATATATAGTAGTACTTATAGTAGTACTATTTATATAATA